TCTAAACCTCGGAAATTGAGGATTAAGGTTAAACTTAAATTTGAACATTTTGTGGTAAAGACACTCAACTTTAACTCTGCCCTGCAGTGACCCTCTGCAGTAACTATAGTCAAGACTGTTCCTTCAGGGTGTCCTTATAGGGCAGTGTTACGATCGTTTAACTGAATACTTTGATACCTTGAACATATTTAGATTTGTCCTCCTTTGGCTCCCGTGGCTTAAGTAACTTCACTGTGCAGATCCAAAAGCAGGTAAGGAAGAATTCTGCCCCATCGGCTTCCACTCGCCTATCACTTCATTCCCTGAGACTTTGGGTTTGAGTGGTGCCCTGAGCTGCACATCTTTGAGAGATCATTCTGCCCGTTGCCCCTGCATGGGAGCACCAAAGCTTGGCTACTGAAATAGGGCTGGGGCTAGTTGGTAGATTTAAGTCTGCCTTGTCTGAATGCTGGAGGTGGGGCTGTTCAAGATTTGGGAGCACCCTTCTCCCACTTGCACTAAAATGGATTAGTCCAAGGGGAATAAATTACCTGCCACCTATAGTGTAAATAGTTAACAAAGTTGATGTATAAACAACGAGGAGTCCTTGTGGCACCTTAGAGACTAACAGATTTATTTGGGCGTAAGCTTTTGTGGGCTATATGAAAATTATATAATTGCTTATGCCCAAACAAATTTGTTAGTTTCTAAGGTGCCACAAGGACTCCTTGTTGTTTTTGCTGATACACACTAACACAGCTATCCCTCTGAAAGTTGATGTATAGTACCTGAAACTTCAAATAGCCACCTTAGGTTGGAGCTTTTATTTGAAAAAAACCTCAGGTTTGTGCTTGCGTGACACTGATGTAAATCCACCAATGTAGAGACCCGGGGGTATGGTTTGCATTTTAGAGCAAAGGGATCCTGAAATCAGGGCTGCTGGGTTCTATTCCCAACTCTACCACAGACTTGTGACCTGGGGTAAGTCCCTTCACTTTTCTGTGCCTCAGTTTCTCCAGGGGGTAATACTTCCATTGCGGTGGAGATTCTGAGGCTTAATATATTCCCTGTAATGTGCTCTGAAATCCTCCAAAGTGTATTTTAAGGGAGCAGCACTTCACAGGAAGGGACTAAGAATTCCATGCTCGCAACCCCATCCATGCATGTGTATTAACACCAGCTTAGGAACTGCATGTGCTAGGCTTCACTGCTCCCCTTGAACCACATCCTGACACGCTCCCTGTGCTATGTGGCCAGGCCATGGCTGTGATCTGTGCCCTCTTCTCGTTACCCACAATTTACAGGGTCTCTGAAATGATTTTCAAATCCGCATGAGGTGTATTTCCTGGGTGTATGTGTGTGTATTTAATGCTTGTTGAACGGTTTACTCAATTTCAGGCAACCTGATGGGGTCTGTGCTTCCTTAGCTACCATGTTTAGTGTGTCAACCTGGTGCTGGATCATGCTGTGCCAATACAAATATATTGAAAGCAGACCGGGCCTGATGTCCGCTTTCTGGGTCCCATCTTTAGGGATTTGACACCATACATCTCTAAACTACAGGAGGGTCCAGAATATTCCAGGTGGATTTCCCAGCTGCAAGAAGCTGAGTTTCCTGTCCACTTCCAAATCTAATTCCCATCTCTCCATGGGCTTGCTCCACCCAGCCCTCTGACTTCTTTCTGTCTCCCCTTAATCTCAAATCCATCTCCACACACCTCTGCGTCTCCCCTTTGCACAGCTGCAGGGTGTTCTTGTACTTTCCCATCCATCTAACCCTCCCCTTCTCCTTTCCAAGACTGACTCCCTTTCCTTCTTTAAATTTCACCTTAAAACCTCCCTTTCTCCTTCACTTACAGCCAAAGTCTCTGAGCAGCATGTGTGACAGTGTGCTTGAAGCATGTCAAGAGAAGGGGGATTACATTGTCAGAAGTGTTAATATGCTCTCTCTTTTCTTTGGATGGGGCACACAAGATCCAAGTTAAAGGCAGCAGAGGGAGAGGAGGCTGCTCAGGGCTAAAACTGTCTTTTTTTCCCATTCACTCATAGACTTTAAAGCCAGAAGGGACCATCATGTTCAGCTAATCTGAGCTGCTGTACGTTGCAGGCCACAGAACATCACCCAGCCACTCCTGTAATAGACCTCTAACCTCTGGCTCAGTTACTGACATCTTCAAATCATGATTCAAAGACTTCAAGTTACAGAGCGTTCACCATTTACACTAGTTTAAATGTGCAAGTGACCCGGGCCCCATGCTGCAGAGACAGGTGAAAAAAACCAGGGTCTCTGCCAATCTGACCCAGGGGAAAATTCCTCCCTACTCCACAACATGGTGATAAGTTAGACCCTGAGCATATAGGCAAGACCCACCAGCCAGACACTTGGAAAACAATTCTCTGTCGTAACTCAAAGCCCTCCCCATCTAGTGTCCCATCACCAGCCATTGGAGATAGCTGCTGCTAGCAGTCACAGATCGGCTACATATCATTGTAGCCAGTCTCATCATACCATCACCACCATAAACTTACCAAGCTCAGTCTTGAAGCCAATTAGGTTCCCCCTCCTGCTCGCCTTCTGAGGCTGTTCCAGAACCTCACTCCTGTGATGGTTAGAAACCTTCATCTAAGTTCAAGCCTAAACTTGTTGATGGCCAGTTTATATCCATTTGTTCTTGTGTCCACATTGGTCTTAACTTAAATAACTCCTCTCCCTCCATGGTATTTATCCCTCTGATGTATTTATGAGGAGCAATCGTATCTCCACTCAGCCTTCTTTTGATTAGACTGAACAAGCCAAGCGCTTTGAGTCTCCTCTCATAAGGCAGGTTTTCCATTCCTCGGATCATCCTAGTCGCCCTTCTCTGCACCTGCTCCAGTTTGAATTCATCTTTCTTAAACATGGGAGACCGGAACTGCACACGCTATTCCAGATGAGGTCTCCTCGGGGCCTTGTTTAATAGTACTAACACTTCTCTGTCTCTACTGGAAATACCTCCCCTGATACTTTCTAGGACTGCATTAGCCCTTTTCACAGCCGCATCACATTGCTGGCTCCTAGTCATCCTGTGAGCAACCAATACACCCAGGTCTTTCTCCTCCTCTGTTGCCTCCAATTGATAAGTCCCCAGCTTATAGCGAAAATTCTTCTTGTTAGTTCCTAGTGCATGCCTTTGCACTCTTAAATTTCATCCCATTTCTATTACTCTAGTTTTAAAGGTCATCCAGATCTTCTCAACTACCTCTGAGGATCTAGGCTAAAGTTCCTGCAACCAGAACGTAGGCCTTAGTGCACTAAGCAACACGTGTAGGTAAGGGGATGATGAGTGTGGTATAAGAACCTCTGTAGAATAGAGCAGACATAAGTTGCACCCATTTAACTATAATTTAAAAAATGATGTAGCTAAACCAATGCAAACGCCCATGTGGGCATACCTAAGTCAGTTTACACCTCGCTAAGAGCAGTTTAGCTTGCATCAGTTTCAGTTAAATCGGGGCTACGTCTGTGTGCAGACAAAATGGTGGTGTCTGTGCATGAAGCTGAGTAGAACAGTCCTCGCGTTCCCGTAGAGAAGCTGATCTACAGAGATTCCTTTGCTGTTATGCCTTGACAATGAATAGGTGGCTGGTGGCCTGAGACCACTGCCCACCACTGTGACCTTGTCTCATTGTTTCCTTGTGCTCCCCTGTCAGGCTGTGTTTACCTGGGGTCTCTTGCCTTATACTTAGATTGGAAGCTCTTTGGGCAGGGACCGTCTTTTTGTTCTGTGTTTGTACAGCACCTTGCACATGGGGTAGGCTCCATAGCTGAGGCTCCTAAGCACTGCTGCAATGCCAATAATACATAATAGGTCATGGTAATGCGAGACCATTGAAAGGGGAGATGTGGGAAGTTGTTAGAGAAACTAAGTCCCCCCTTCTCCCAATAAAGGTCGTATTAACTGCTTCACAACTCACCCTCTATTTGTGCTGCAGCTACTGAGTTTCTGCCATGGAAATCTTAACAGAAGGTATGCATGGCAGCAAAGTCAGTGTGCTTGTCTTTTGCCACCTGTACATGGCACAGCTGTGGTGTTCCAGCCCAGAGGTGGCTGCATTTCAGCTGTGGGGGGAGTGATCCCTGCAGATATACAGGGTATGGCTACATGGCACACTAAGCCTGGGCTCTGACTCAGGTTTGAGCCAAAGCCCCCCCGCCCTTCCTTCTGCAAACAAATCAGTCTGACTCCAATCAGCAAGAGCCCAAGTCCTGCTGTGACTCGGATCCGAGCCCTGTCATTTTGCAGCGTGGATGGAGCTTGAGCTGCAGACCTGAGTCAGGAGCTCTGCGTAGTGCAGTGTGGATGCAGTAGCACGGTCATGAGACCCAGGTCCAGCCGCTGTAAGCCCAGGTTTACAAGGCAGTGCGGATGCTCAAGTGTGGTCTTGGAAACACCCAGTCCACAAGCTCGGGTCCCCAGACCCGGATTTACGATGCAGTGTAGACATACTCATGTAGGCCTAGATCTTGGGCCTTGTGGGAGGCAGGCTGGCTGCTGCACCCGCGGGTGGATTGAGCCCAGGCTCAGAGCCCTAGCAAGCTGGATCAAAGCGCTTTGGGATGACAGATGTCGAATAAACGCCAGATCGAGTATGCGAGTGAGCTGTGAGAACAGCCTCGTTCGGGCTACATCAAGGGTTCTCAAACTGCGGGTCAGGACCCCTCAGGGGGGTCGGGAGGTTATTACATGGGGGGTCGCGAGCTGTCAACCTCTCCCCCAAACCCGCTTTGCCTCCAGCATGTATAATGGTGTTAAATATATTAAAAAAGTGTTTTTAATTTATAAAGGGGGGGTCGCACTCCTGGTGAAAGGGGTCACCAGGACCAAAGTTTGAGCGCCACTGGGCTACATCCTCCTCTTTCCCTCCCCCTCCCCCTCCCCTCTTTTCAGGCTGCGGCTCCTTTAAGAGCCGTCCTCTCCTTTAAGAGCAGACCGCCCTGCCCCTTTAAGCCGGGCAGGCGCACGTGAGTTGCAACACAGTAGCCAACATGCTGGAGGGAAGTCGCTTGCTACTCCCTGGCCTGTGGCTGCTGGCGAGTGTCTCCTGCCTGCTGGGGGACGCGGCGGGCTATCGGAGGAAGGTGAGCGGCGGGGGGGGGACCTGGGGGGGTTGCTACAGATGCAGGTTTCGTGGCTGTAGCCGCTTCATGCGTCCGGGGTCTGGCCCCCGGGGGACATCCGTGCCAAGCGGGGCTCGCTCAGCCTTGGGGGGCTAGGCAGAGACCGGGCAGGCGGGGATCTGGCCAGTGCTTGGCTTGGCAGGCGGGGGGGCTGATGGGATTCATTCAATCAGCCCGACCTGCCTCCCCCCGAGGTTGTTGGCTGAGGTGTTTCTCTCTGTGCAATCGCCTCGCCCTGCCCTCCTTGCTGCAACCTCCGCCGAGTCCCGTAAGGGGAACAAGCTGTTCTGCTCTGGGGAGGAGGGCTGGAGTCTTACCCTGGCCCAGCTGCTACTAATGCTCCTTCCCTACAGCCCGGCCAGGGACAAGCCGGGGAGTGACCTAAACCAGAGGCCTGTCGCTTGGCAGCCCCAAACAAGCAGCTTGAAGAAATAGTGGGGGGCTCAGAACCCTGCGAATGGCACCGCATGGGGGCCTGGTCAGTAATAATTGAGGGTGTCCCGGGGGGGGGATGACCAGCAGAGAGAGGGCAGGGAATGCCTGGCTCAGGCAGACCCCTGTCGGCCCCTAGTGGGGGGGGGGGGGGGCCGGGGGGGGGGCCGCCGGGGGGGGGGGGGGGGGGGGGGGGGGGGGTCCCAGCAGATGCGCTCAATATGGCAGTGAGTGCTGGGGGGAGCTTGTCCTACAAGTGTCTGGAGGGCCTGTTCTTGGGGCATATTAGTTATAGGTATATCTCCATATCTTATTTATTTATCTCATAGAAGTGGAAGGGACCTGAAAGGTCATCGAGTCCAGCCCCCTGCCTTTACCAGCAGGACCAAGTACTGATTTTTGCCCAGATCCCTAAGTGGCACCTTCAAGGACTGAACTCACAACCCTGGGTTTAGCAGGCCAATGCTCAAACCACTGAGCTATCCCTCCCCCCTGTGTGTAGTTCATGACTAACCCCCCACTCCTCCTTGAGTTCATGACTAACCCCCCACTCCTCCTTGTTAAGGCCAGCTATAAGCCCCCTCTCCTCCCAGCGCCCTCCTGGTTGTCAACAGCAGTTTGCTCTCCCCAGCCGGCCTCTCACTGGGTGACTCACAGGGGAATGACTCTTGCTTATAGAGAGTTTCCGTCTTCCCCTGACATGCCCTTTCGAAGCAGGAAGTGGAACTGCTGAGCTGGTTCCTTTCTAAGCCTGCAGGCTCCAGGCTAGCAACTGTGGGGCTTCTGCAAAGCGCTCTGGCTCCTTGGGACTTTCCTTTTTAGTTTTGATATCGCTTGGAAGAAGGGAAACCTCGTCTTAGATCTGCTCTACCCCGTCCTGCCTTGGGGGGTGGGGATGAACTAGATCACCCCTTGAGATCCCTTCCAGCCCTACGTTTCTGTGGGTCTATGAAACCACCGTGCTTGTCCCAATAGAACTCGGTTAGGGGTGTGATTTTATTTTAACTTGATATTTTTTTTTGGTTCGCAATATAGTTCTACCAGTACAACCCTCCCAGTGTGGCTGCAGTTATACTGGTGTAGAGGTGCCTTGTACTGGTATCACCTATTTTCCCTTCCCTTAGAGGAATAGTTAGACATCATCCCATTTATATTGGTATGCCGCGTCCACACTTGTATGGCTTCAGCTATCCTGGGATAGGTGAAGTGGTACAACTCTTTTGTGGGTTTCGACAAGGCTTTTATGTTATGCCTGGGGGGTGTTTGTCGTCTGTCCCGTGTAATCAGAGCATTGAAGCAAGACCAGCCGCAAACCTCTTGATTCTCCCATTTCCCCGGCATCAGAAAAAAACTGAAAATCGATGTCCTTCCCTTCCCTTGGTTATTGAAATTCTGCTCCTTTTGGTCAGATACTTTAGCCGAAGTGAAGCACACAACAAAACCAGAGGCTGCTTGATGATGGGAGCTCTGTCTAGATGGCTTGGATGATTCGATGGGTCTCTTCCAACTCTTAACATCTGGAGCCTTGTGTGCCAGACTGACGATATCTGGCGCAAACCTGATGCAATTAGGAGACACCTTCTCGAACTGGGTTTAGTACCTGTGGGGTCTATTGTATTCAAAATGCAGTTGTGTGTGTGACTATGAAATTGTACCTCGTTCCTGTAGGAGGAGAGGAGGTGAAGCCCTATCTGTCGGGGAAGGGTGGCCTAGTTGTTAGGGGTGAGCCTCTGGTTTGGGAGACCTGGGCGCAGTTCCCAACTCGGCCCCAGACTCCTTGTGTGATATCAGGCAAGCCGCTTAGTCTCGCTGGGCCTCATTTTCCCCCTCATCTGTAAAAGGGTGGCTACTTCGCTACCTCACAGCAAAGGTTTTTCAGGCCTAGATGCTGTGGTAATAGGCTGCCTTTACCTGTCTGGGACCCTAATGGGCCAATATAATGCAGAGCTCCAGATCCCCAGTGACCCTAAGGAGTCCAAGGCTGACAATCCTGGTCTAAGCTTGTCCTGCCACTGCCCAGCAGGGCACGGGCTGAGCGGAGTCTCATGCGCTCAGGAACGGTCTGTGTGTGTGACTAATGCCCTGCCCGCTGTCTGCCTCCCACCACCTAGGTAACCCTGCAGTCCATCCCCGGCTCGAACAGCTCCTCCGCCAACCTCCTGCACGTGCGGGCCGTGGGCCGGAACAACACCCTGCACTACGTGTGGAGCAGCATCGGGGCGCCCACCGTGCTGCTGCTCTACACCCGGAGCGAGAGCAGCGCCCTGCGCGTCAACTGGACCAAGCTCCTCTCGGCCTCCCCCGCCGGGGCCATCTGGGTCGAGCCGCCCGGCAGCGTTGTCTACTCCACCGCTGTCGTCTTCACCAAGGTCAGGGGCGGCGGTGGGGGGGAGAGGCTGGGTCAGAGCCAAAGGAGCCACCTGCTTACCTCCTGGCACAGCTGGTCCTAGAAAATGGCATTCAGCACTGCCACATAGGGCATCTGGCAGCCCTCTGTTCGTGCCCATTTGCTGCCTGATGTGGGGCTGTCCCTATGCAGCCTTCTCCAGTGTGCTGTCCCCTATCTGCTTCCCCGGGGGGGAGGGAGGGTGCCCACCACTTCCCTTGGGGTGGGAACCCTGCTGTGGTTGCAAGTTGGGGAAACTATGCTGCCTCTTAGCCTGTGTGCTGTGCCTTTAAACTTCTGGCAGGAGGCAGCTCCTTCCTGGGGGGGCAACAAGCCCCAGTGAGCATGCAGGTGGGATGAAAGGAGGGGGAGGGGTTTGCAATGGAAGGTGCCTCCCTCAGTAGTCAGAGGAAATAGGTGGAACATGCATGGTGCCCTGCATTGCCAAGGGACTGGGGTCAAGTATGCACGTGCATGGGGGGAGTGTGTTTAAAGTCTCTTCCAATTCAAATTGAGGCCCCTCTCCCTCCTGCTTCCAGGTGTTCGAGTACAACGGGGCCAACGTGTCGGCCCTCTCCAAGGGGCAGGAGGAGCCGTTCTACCCCCCCTACGACCTGGCTGGCTTCTCCTGGCAGAGTGTGAACCACACCGTGAACCAGACGGCCCTCACGGCTAAGTTCCAGGGGGTGGACACCTCGGACCCTGGGGGGGCCTTCCACAATGGCACCATCTCCTTCCAGGTGAGGCAGCCCTGCCCCGCCCCACTTCCTTCCCAGGAGAGGAGTCTGTTGCTGCTAGCCGTCCAAGGGTGTGACCCAATGCCCACTGAAACTGATGGAGGCTTCCCAGGAGCTCTGAATTGGGGCCCCTTGGGCCTTCTTGGCTATACCCCCTGTGCCATTGGCTATATGCTACACACCCTCCATGCACCCCTCTAGCCCCCTGCCGGGCTCTCAGCTGCCTCTCCTCTGTTGCTGTTGACCCTCTCCCTGTCCTGTGCTGGTTCTCTGGTCCCCTCCCCAGCCCTGTTGGCATTCCCCAAACAGCATTCTTCCCCCTCCGCCACATATATACCCTTCCCCTCACCTCTTCCTGATCAAGTAGGGGAAAGGGCCTCTTCTCTGAGCTTACAGCAGGGCCATGGTTAGGCGGGGCTGCTTTGGGACCTGCTGCACGACTACCAGAAGCCACCCCCCCATTCTAGCCCTCTGGGAATAGAACCCCGGAGTCCTGGCTCCCAGTCTCCTGTGCTGTAGCGTGAGAGTGTTCCCCAGAGGATGGGCCACTCCTCACTGGTTCCCCAGTGGCCCAGCAAGACCCAATGGTTTCTCTGACCTTCTCTCAGCCCCCAGGACTGTTTGGAGAAGGTTCGTAAGGTTCATAGATTAAGGTGAGAAGGGGCCATTCTGATCCTCTGGTCGAACCTCCTGTAGAACACAAGCCAGAGAACCTTGCCCAGCAATTCCTGCATCCAGCCCATAACTTCTCGGGGAGCTAGTGTGTCTCCTTAAGAAAGACATCCAGGCTTGAGTTAAAGGCTGCAAGGGATGGCGAATCCTCCAGGGCCTGAGGCGCATTGTTATTCCAATGGTAACGCCGCTGGGCTGGATAATCTGGCACAGTTTCATCGCCGTAGGCTCCTTCTGGTTGCTGTAGGGCGTATGGAGTTATAAGGGGTGTCGTGACGAGTCCCCCATATCCTTGCTGTAACACAAGTGTTACAGCAGCACTGGGTACCCACCTAGTGCTGGGTGCTGCACAGACACGAGGCAGTCCCTGCCTGGAAGAGCTGACAACCTCAATGGACAAGGGAGGGTGTGGGGGGAAACTGAGGCATAAAGAGGGGAAGTGACTTGCCCAAGATTACTCAGCAGGTCAGTGGCCGCGCTGGGAGCAGACCCCGTGAGTTCTGAGTCCTGGACTGCTATTCCTCTCATGCCTCTGCCTCCAGGTGACTGCCTACGAGCAGGGTGGCCGGGACGGCCCCCTCCCTCGCCTCCTGCACACCGCCAACAGCTCCAAGGTGGAGTTCATCATGGACAACGTGGCCCCGCGCGGCAACAGTTCTCGCTTCATGCTGGAGGTGGTCACGGTGGAGGAGAAAGGCGGGCACAAGAGGCTGCAGTCTGTGCGGTCCATTGATGACGAGTACACGCCCACCATCTTTGAGGTGAGGGCTAGGGGGCGCTAGGGTGCTGAAAGCCATCTAGCTGCCTAGAAAGAGGCCGATTAGGAGCCCGCGGTAATGGGCACCATGTAGGAGCCGATATAGAATAGAATGGGGAGGGAAGAGGCTGGAGCAGGAGTGAATATGACCCATGTTGGGGGGGTCCCATTCTAATGGCTGATGCATATATTGAGGATAAGAGTCTACTACCAGTGACAGCGAGTGGAGTTCCTCCTTTAGCTCAAGTGGTAGAGGTGGAGGCCCTTGGTGCTGCATGGTGCTAGTGACCTGAAGAGGTTGTGATATTGGCAGGGGACGACACGCAGATTTAAGTCCAGGTTGGTTGGACAACAAAACTTCCTGAGAAACATTGCTTGTTTGGGTTGGAATTTTTGTCTTTGATGGAGACTTTCCAGACTGCTCTAATTCTTAAGCTTCAAATGTTAAGGTCAGCAAAGGGCCCTTCACCTAATATTTGTCCCCACGGTGTTTTGTTTATGGCTTCTACAACCTCCCTTAGGAGCCTGCTTGTATGGGAGAATTCCAGGCACGAGAAAGGGAAGTCACTTGGCTGAGTCAGTGCCAGAGCTGGGAAAGGAACCCAGGAGTCCTGGCTCCTGGCACTCAACTTTGACCAGCAGAATGTGCTCTGGGTTCCTTCCTGGGCACTGGAAGGAATCCTGGCTCTCAGCCCCCCTGCTCTAACCACTAGATCATGCTCCTTCCCAGTGCTGGGGACAGACCACAGGAGTCCTGGCTCCCAGCTCCCCTGCTCCAGCGTGAAAGCAGTTGGTCGTCATGCCCTTGCTTCATCTGCCCTCTTAACGTGTTGCTCTCTCCCCTCTCTCGGGGTGGGGGCAGATGGCCCAGCTGGTGTCCGAGCCCCGCAACGACAGCATCGGCCCGAGCTTCTTCCAGTGGAAGACGACGGCGTACGGCTCCAGGGAGGCCAGCCGGGAGAACGCCATCCGCTGCCGCTACCACCCCCTGCAGACAGCCAACTGGACGCTGCCGGGGCCCAGCATCGCGCACGCCTACTTCGGGGAGGGCCTGGGCCGCAGCCACCACATCGCCGCCATCAATATCTCCTTCGGCGGCGAGGACGGGGAGGTCTACGCCGAGAAGGGCTACCTGAGCTGGTGAGTGGTACCTTCCTTCTGCTCCCCCTGCCTGTCTGAGTGGTATCTCCCCGCCCGTCTTCTACCCACTACCCCTGCAGAGTGCTAGGTGCTGCACATGTGCATGGACGGGTGCAGCCCCTGCCCTGGAGATCTCCTGGCTGAAGGCCTCTGTTTGGCTCCCTGTAGTTGGCTGCTGCTGCTGCCCCACTCCCCCTCCCGACAGGCCTGTGGCTTGGAAAGGTCAGTCACTGAGCCCCATTTCTCCCTGCCCTCCAAGTAGCTTCCTGTGTCCTCTGCCATGGGCTACTTCAAACTCCCCCCAACTATCTCTGCACAGAGGGGAAGTGACTGGCCTGCAGGGCAGAGGCAGGATTTTGAACCCGGGTCTCCCAAGTCCAGTGCCTTAGCCCCAAGGCCATCCTCTGTCCCCACTGGTGGGAGGAAGGAGGCCATGGGACTCCACTGATTGGCCCAGACTGGCCTCTTCATCGCTGGCTAGCCTCTTCCTTTGCTCCCTGCTTCCCCCAGGTCTGCCTTGCTTGGCTTCGGCACGCCCCCGAAAGACGCCTTCTCTCCCCTCGTGATGGCCATTGTGGTTGTGGCCCTGGGCACCCCCGTGGTGCTGCTGCTGGCGGGAAGCCTTGTGGTGCTGTTCGCACGGAGGAAGCGCCATTCCCAGTACGAGCCCATCAACTGACTGACGTGGGCAGGACTCGGAAACAGCTAGCGCCGGCCAGGGTTCTCTCGCCGGACCCTCGGGCTCCCCCAAGGCTCCTGAAGTGGCTGCTCCTGGGAAACTTATTTATTAATAGCCACGGTTACGCGTCCTCTTCTCTCTCTATCTCCACGGCCCTGACCCCTCGTCACTCCAGGCTCCGAGGGGAATAGTGCAATGACCTGCAGTGCTACCTCCGCACCCTGGATCCTGGCTCTTCGGCGCTTGGCATGGGCGGGATGGGAAGGAGACCCGCCCTGTATTCATAACTGTTCGGCTGTCTGCCTTGAGGATGGAGTGATCCATTTCTCCCTTACCCCCTAAAAGTCTTTTAGAAGCAGTATCTGGCACTGAGGTTCTCCACGGGGGCTCTAGAATACATTCCAGGGCAGGGCTGGGATCCAGCAGGGCCTGCCCAAGAAATGCCTCACTTAGGGGGTCAGAAACATTAGCCGTTTCTAGGCCAGTGTCTAGCGTCTCCCTTCACTCCACCCATCAGCGTGCCTGACCCGGCGTTCACAAACACAGAACCTTCCCATAGGGCACTTTGCAAGGTGCTACCCAGCCTCTGGTTTTATCGCTGCTCTTGTTTTAAACCAGCCGGTGAGGGATTGTGGCTCGAGGGGGGGCGGGGGGGGATTGTGTTCACCACTGGGAGAAATGATCTTCTGTCTCTTTAAAAAGGAGAAACCACTAGTCGTCTTCTCCCTCAGAGGCTGGGTCACAGAAAGCAAGGGGCCTTTGCTGTATAAATCACCAGCTTGTGAGCAGATCAGCCTAGTTACACCCTGCACACGCCAACCACTTGAGTGTTTTGTAAAGTCACCAGTTCCTTGGATGGTGTCACGTGGTTCCAACATTCTGCCTCACCGGTGAGCATGCAGCCATCTGCTGCCCGTGAATTCTAACTGTACCTGGGACGGTTATAAAGTTGCCTTTTGCCAATAGGGCGGAGGCTTTTCAGAATGAACCAATGACTTTGGGGTGCGTCAATGTTAGGTGTCCAACATGAGTCCCCTTAAAAGGGGCCAGATCTTTATTTCTTTTGTCAGGGGGTCCGTGCTCGGCCCTGCCTGTGAAACGGGGCCTCTTTTAAGCTACCTCAAGGTTGGGCGCCCAAAAAATCACCAGTCCCTTTTTGAAAACCTTGGCCTGAAAGGTCTAAATCCTGAGAGTCAAGCACCCCTCCCTCTTGCAAGTTCCAGATCCCATTGCTGTTACGCCCCTGTTCTCACTCGGCTGAGTTGGCTCAGAGAAGCCAGCTCTGAACGTGTTACTTGAAATCTCACCAAGCACCCTCACTTGGCTGTATGTAATTCACTCTGTGTTTGAGAGGTGATCACAGGCTTTCTTCAGATGCTTCTATCTTTTGATCTGCCTTTTGGACCAATTAAAGAATATTTTTAAGACCTCTGTGCCTTTTGGTCGCTTTGTACATATGTAGGGCCAGGCTGGTGGTAAATGTATATTCGAGTGGTGCTTGGGGCCCCAGGCTGGCTGCTGTGTGAACACGGAAGTAGCCCATCCCTGCCCCCCGGATTGAAATAAATGTTCATGTGTCCTGCTCAGCCAGGACAGACCATTGTGGGCAGCAAGACCCAGTGGTCAAAGGGCATTCCGGCTTCGTTGCAGGAACATCCACCGGGGATAATGGTGAAGATAGTAAAAATTATTGAAAGGGAGTAAGTCTTCGCTGATATCACTACTGGCTGGGAAATAAAATCCTAGTTTTCCCTCTAGTGCTGAATGGGTCCCAGCTCTCTGGTGGCCTGTTTTAATTTTTTTTTTTCCAACTAGTTTTACTATCAAGGGCTTCTGGCTCTTGTGTGGGTCACAGTAAAAAGCCAATCCCGTCAGATCTCCCAGGTGAACCTGGCTTGGCTGGTGCCTACAGGGCAGACCCATAGAGGAACTGGTCCTGGCCGATTTGGTGTGGTGGTCTGATGCAATGTCCTAGCTGGGGGTTAGGTGGGATTGTGTTGCTGGAGGGGTAGCTGCTCGGGTGAGAGGTGAACTGAATTGCCCATGGCCATTTTGGGTACAAGGGCAGCTGTTGAAAGTTAGTGTCCGAGCCGAATTCAAAATCTCTGGAATTTACCTTTCTCCCCACAGTCTCAGTTGGCACCGGATGTCGCTCCCCATTCTGGATGACTCTTTACTGTTGCTCTGCTACAGTGTTCAGCCCCAGAACTGGCTGCATTTCCCCAGGGGAAGAAATAATTCCTATATGTCACGCCAATACGTTTGTGATCAATTTTTAATGGTTACCAAATAGCTTAAGGCGCAAGGTAGTAGCGTAGCATCATCTCTCTCTGCCTGGGTTTGATCTATGTCCATCGTGGTGCAATAACATGGGTGTTGCTAACAGAGCAATGTCTGAGTCCGCTCCCTCCCCTAGCAAGTGACAGCAAGATGCTGGAGAGTAGAGAATCAAACCGAGCCTGGCCTCGCTGCTGGCTCTGGGCATGTGGGAACTGGTGTCTCAGCTGGTACAGGTTACTTCTGGATCGCAGACGAGGCGTTTGCCAGCTGTTCTGTAGCATTTAGTGCTATCCTGCCTGCCATGTGAAGTGAGAAACAGGTGAGATAGCAGTCACGTCGGCTTAGGTAAGGTCCTGAAGTAGAGGTGGGGCCCAATGTTCGAATCCAAACTCTACGGCTCCAGGGTGGTTGACTGAGAGTTTCTGGTCCAGTCCCATTTCGAAGCTAAACAGTTCTTGCCTTTATGACAAGGGATCTGTTCTGGCTCCATGTCTCCAGCTGTCTGGGGGGGGTGGCTGGCTGTGATATATTGCCCACAGGTCTAGCAGTTTAAAGGGGAGCGCAGAGAGCTTTAGCATGGAGGGCACTGCCCCTGTCTGGGATGAACTTGTGCGCTGCTCTCCCTACCCGCAAGCTAATTAAGTTATTTAATGGGACAACTGTCTGCTCTGTCTATGAATAACAGTAATAACCTCTAATGCTATCGAGCTCTCTTCACCAAAGGAGTTCAGTGTCATTATCTCCACTTTACTGAAAGGGGAGGGGGGGAAACTGAGGCACAGAGAGGGGAAGTGATTTGTTCATGGTCACCTAGTAGGCCTCAAGCATTGCTGTGCCAGCGTGGTGCAGATGTGCTCTAGTGATGAAATCCTGGCACCACTCACGTTGACGTCACAGCAGCCAGGGCTTCACCCCCAGGAGCCTGGGTGCGCTTGCACTGCGCTATAGACATGGAGCATCTAACCTGTGGGACTTTCTGCTTCAGGACTCCAGCGGGATGATTCTTAAAAAGACAGGATCACGTGGTGCTCGGCTCCAGTGTTCGTTGCAGATCAGACCCCACGTGCTTGTGCTGAGCGTTCACGGGCTTTGGCGCTGAACTTGCCACCCTTGTGATGTTTCTGTATCTACGATTCTGGGCTAAAGCAACCTCATGCTGCAGGGCTGCAAGCCTGAAGGAGTCAGGTAGGAATTCCATGCTGCTGGTGGTTTCATCTTCCTTTGGCTGTTCCTGCAGATGAGACCAGACCAGGAGCCTGATGTAGTTTGGATTTTTTTTTTCTTGAGGCTGGTTGGAAGAATGGTGGGAAGAAATACTTTCCTGTTGGGAAATGGGGTTTCACCAACATGGACACTTTCCAGCAGGAAAATTTAAACGCTGCCTGAGCTACCATGGTGCCTCCTGCCCGGACTATGTCTTCCATGATACACCAAGCAGCATGAGACTGCAGTGGCTCATGGGAAATGTAGTCTAACCAGTGAACTGAACCCACAGGCAAGCATGAGTCCCAGAACTATAACTCCCATCAGTCATTGCAGCCTCTCAGGAAGGCTGAGAGCTTAATATCAACCCGCAACAATTAGACACTTGCAAATTGGAATTATTTTTAGAACTCTTTAGACAGGATACTGAGCTAGATGGGCCATTGGTCTGACCCAGTATTGCCATTCTTATGTTCATTAAAAGTTTTGAGACTGTTTTTTTCCCCCCAAATAATCCTGGAAAGAGATACAGAAATACTGGAATTTCCTGCAGGATAGAAAGCGTGATCATTTATTTTTTTAAATCTGCTCTGCTCCTTTGATACAAAACCTTCCAGGTAGTTTAAAGTGACTGAACCAAGCTCTGCAACTTACGAAAGTAAAAGATCCTTTATTTATTTTTTCCCCCACTGACAAAAATGCAACAGCACTCCCTCCCCGACTTGCTTTCGCTTAGGCCCCCATCCAAAGCCCTCTGCAGTCAAGGGGAACTCCTCTGTTGATGGCACTTGGCATTGGATTGACCCCCATCCATCATCACCGCCTCCTGTGGGAGAACCATTCACCCTCGACAAGAACATTGCAGCTGGCGCAATGCAAGTGACGCGTGAACAAGAAAAATAAATTTATGGCAGGGTCTAGTGGGCCAATAAAAATCCTCCACTGCCGTGGTAGGTGCCAATTCTCTTTTCTGGCCATGAAATGCTTCTCTAAGAGGGAGGGACAGCTCTTCATACACAACACCGGCTTGCCTGCCTGTAACCCCGGGTTACCCTGTCACCCTGTTGCTTGCTTAACATGCTTGCAAAGGAATCCATGGAACCCTAGACTAGGTTTTGGCCCCTAACTTTTACCAGCCGGGCTGTGAGATCTTGTGTTTCTCGGACAAATATTGATGTCTCTATAAAGTGTATATATAAAAAAAGCAGATCGCTCTTTTTAAAAGAACAGAGTTGGTTAAAACCAGCCTTTGGGAAAACAAATGGGGGCATGATTGGAAGCAATAGAATTTTGTTTCAATGCTTTAAGGCTGCAGCTGGTGCCTTCTATACCCTGCAGGTTTTTCTCAAGCACCTCTCAACCATAGTGTGGAAGCCCAGATACACCTACCCACAGGTAGATGGCAAAGACCAAGATTTGCAAACGTGAGAAGGGACTTTTGGGTGGGGGGAGGTGCTCCTGTGAGCAGGTGTGATGGGGAACAGGGCAGCGGCGTGGTCTGGTTTCCCAGTTCCATGGGACTTCGGCACAGCTGCCGCCCGGCACCAGCGCTTGTTCACTAACGGCGCTGATGGAAACGCTTGGACGAGGCCGCTGCTGGGTGGCAAGCACGTGGGTGCCCAAAGCTTCGGGGGCACGAGATGAGCGCCGTTGATGGATGTAGACTGAACAGCCAGGCAGTCTTAAGGACCTGAGACTGAACTAGGTGCTCGGGCTGCAGGGAGGCTCCAGGATTTGCCATGAGGAAGGGGAACACGGGAGAGCGAAGGCCATGAGCAGCAGGAGTTGCTGCAGGGACGGAATGACAGAGGGGAAGATGGGCAGGGTGGAGGGAGAGAAAAGAGAGAAGCAGAAATCGTAAAGGGGATCCTGTTTTCCCACTGAACACCCAGTCTGAGACCCCTTTAAAGGGGCCTGATTTTCAGAGGCTGCCTGCTTGATCTTTTCTGACAGTGGGGGGCTTCAACTCAGAGAACCCAAATTGCAAATTTAAAAAAAAAAAATCTTAACCTGAATTCCCTCCTGCTTCTGGCCAAATCAACCTCCTTCCCCAAATTGCCCCTGTGAGATGCACACCGACCATAACAGGGTCTGCGGTGCTGCTGTGTTCCAGCCCAGAGGTGGCTGCATTTCACGGGTGCCCTGCTCCTGT